GGGACAAATAGAACACCTGAACAGACCAATAATCAGCAAGGAAATTGAAGCAGTAGTCAAAAATCTATCTCCCAACAAACAAGAGTCCAGGGCCGGATGGCTTCCCAGGAGAATTCTACCAAACATTCAAAGAAGAAGTAATACCCATTCTTCTGAAGCTGTTTCAAAAAATAGAAAGGGAAGAAAAACTTCCAAACTCATTCTATGAGGCCAGCATTACCTTGATCCCAAAACCAAAGACCCCACCAAAAAGGAGAATTGCAGACCAATATCCCTGATGAACATGGATGCCAAAATTCTCACCAAGATACTAGCCAACAGGACCCAACAGTACATTGAAAGATTATTCACCACGACCAGGTGGGATTTATTCCTGGGCTGCAAGGGTGGTTCAACATCCACAAATCAATCAATGTGATACATCACATTAACAAAAGAAAGGACAATAACCATATGATCCTCTCAATTGATGCAGAGAAAGCATTTGACCAACTACAGCATCCTTTCTTGATTATAACTCTCCACAGTGTAGGAATAGAGGGAACATACCTCAATGTCATAAAAGCCACATACGAAAAGCTCACAGTGAATATCATTCTCAATGGGGAAAAACTGAGAGCTTTACCCTAAGGTCAAGAACAGGACAGGGATGCCCACTCTCACCACTGTTGTTCAACATAGTATTAGAAGTCCTACCCTTAGCAATCAGATAACAAAAAGAAATAAAAGTCATTCAAATTGACAAAGAAGTCAAACTCCCACATTTCACAGATGACATGATACTCTATGTGGAAAACCCAAAAGTCTTCACCCAAAACTGCTAGAACTCATACAAGAATTCAGCCACATGGCAGGTTATAAAATCAATGCACAGAAATCAGTTGCATTTCTGTACACTGAGACAGAAGAAAGAGAAATTAAGGAATTGATCCCATTTACAACTGCACCAAAAACCATAAGATACCTAGGAATAAACCTAACCAAAGAGGTAAAGGATCTGTACTCTAAAAACTACAGAACACTTACAAAAGAAATTAAGACACAAAGAAATGGAAAAACATTCCATGCTCATGGATTGGAAGAATAAATATTGTTAAAATGTCCTACACATTCAATGCAATCCCTATCAAAATACCATCGACATTTTTCACAGACCCAGAACAAATAATCCTAAACTTTGTATGGAACCAGAAAATGCCAGAGAAATGTTAAAAAAGAAAACCAAAGCTGGGGGCATCACAATGCCAAACTTCAAGCTATATTACAAAGCTGTAATCAAGACAGTATGGTACTGGCACAAAAACAGACAAACAGACACATAGATCAATGGGACAGAACAGAGAACCCAGAAATGGATCCTCAATTCTATGGTCAACTGATTTTCAACAAAGCAGGAAAGAAGACCCAATGGAAAAAAAGACAGTCTCTTCAACAAATGGCATTGGGAAAATTGGACAGCCACATGTAGCAGAGTAAAACTGGACCATTTTCTTACACCATACACAAAGATAAACTCAAAATGGATGAAAGACCTCAATGTGAGACAAGAATCCATCAAAATCCTAGAGAAGAAGAGAGGCAATAACCTCTTTAACCTTGGCTGCAGCAATTTCTTGCTAGACACATCTCCAAAGGCAAGGGAAACCAAATAAAAAATGAACTATTGGGATTTCATCAGGATAAAAGTTTTCTGCACAGCAAAGGAAACAGTCAACAAAACTAAAAGGCAACCTATGGAATGGGATAAGATATTTGCAAATGACATATCAGATAAAGGGCTAGTGTCCAAGATCCAAAAAGAACTTATCAAACTCAACACCCAATAAACAAATAGTCCAGTCAAGAAATGGGCAGAAGACATGAACAGACATTTCTCCAAAGAAGACATACAAATGGCCAACAGATGCATGAAAAATGCTCAACACCATTTGTCATCCAGAAAACACAAATCAAAACCACAGTAAGATACCACCTCACACGAGTCAGAATGGCTAAAATTAACAAGTCAGGAAATAACAAATATCGGTGAGGATGTGGAAAAAGGAGAGCCCTCTTACACTACTGGTGAGAAGGCAAGCTAGTGCAGCCACTCTGGAAAACAGTATGGAGCTTCCTCAAGAAGGTAAAAATTGAGCTACTCTACAACCCAGCAATTGCACTACTAGGCATTTACCCGAGATACAAACATAGTGATATGAACGGGCACATGCACCCCAATGTTTATAGCAGCAATGTCCACAATAGCCAAACTATGAAAAGAGCCTAGATGTCTATCGACAAATGAATGGATAAAGATATGGCATGAGTGCCTGGGTGGTTCAGGTCATGATCCCAGGATCCTGGGATAGAGTCCCGCATCAGGCTCCCTGCTCAGTGGCGAGTCTGCTTCTCCCTCTGCCCCCACCCCCTGCTCGTGCGCTCTCTCAAAAAAATAAAATTAAAAAAAAAAAGTTGTGGTATATATATATGTACAACGGAATATTACACAGCCATCTGAGAGAATGAATACTTACCATTTACATCGACATGGATATTAGTGGAGGGTATTATACTGAGTGAAATCAGTCAGTCAGAAAAAGACAATTATATGCTTTCACTCATGTGGAATATAAGAAACAGCACAGAGGATCATAGGGGAAGGGAAGGAAAACTGAATGGGAAGAAATCAGAGAGGGAGACAAACCACGAGAGACTCTTAACTATGGGAAACAAACTGAGGGTTGCTGGAGGGGAGGTGGGTGGATGGAGTAATTGAGTGATGGGCATAAAGGAGGGCACATGATGTGATGAGCACTGGGTGTTATATGCAATTGATGAATTACTGTTCGCTACATCTGAAACTAATAATGTACTATATATGTTGGCTAATTGAATTTAAATAAAAAAATAAAATTTATTAATTTGAAAAAAATGTTTAAAAGTTAAAATAAAAATAAATAGTAGGTATTCGGATCTTTACCATGTGTGCCAATTTTGGCTAACAAAGAGCATTCTTGAACTCAAAGGTAGGTGAGACAGAAAATAACCTTTCAACTCATCTTTAACAGTTATTTCCCTCCCTTCCTGCTACCCAAATTATTTCATGGCTTACCAACATAGTAAGGAAAACAGCTGGGTTTTTATCTAAAAGCGATATCTCACTTTCAATAAAAATGTGGTGAAGACATACTGTCAGGACTTACCCAAGCAATAACAAAAATTATTCTTATACCTTAGTGCTAACAAAATGCAGAATGATTTTGAAATTAAAGTTATGGTTTTGATTTCAAGTTAACCAGATATTTGATATTAAGGAATTATTTTTATTTGTGGAGGTATATGGCTGTATTTATATATAAAATAGGAGTGTCCTTATCTTTTAAAAATCTGATACTGAAACATTTAAAAATGTAGTATCATCTGGGGTTAGCCTGAGCAACATTGGGAGTTCAGGTAAGGTGTCTGGGGGTAGAGGTTAAAAAAAACAAGATTGGCCATGAGAGAAGAGTGGAAGTAGATATGGGTATGTGGGGATTCATTTTACTGTTACTTGACAATCTTTATAAGACAAACCTGAAAATATATAAATTCAGTTATCTGCTGCTTTTAAAAAAGAAAAGGCATATAATGAGATCCTGGCAACCAAATGAATAAACTGAAATGTTAAAAATGTTATTTACCCTTTACAAAGGGAAATAACATTGTACCTAAATCTAGTATCTATCAACCTATTACTAAAAAACACAAATAATGTAATATAAAAATACCACTTAACCATGAGATTCAAACTGATTGGGAGAGGGCAGAGGATTATCAGTCCCAAGTAACAGTGGCCCTGTTAAGGCTCTCACATCACAAGAATAAAAAAACACTCTAAGTAGTTTTGAAAAATAGAGTCTTTAAAAAATCTTATTCACAGTCAAGTGAAATAGTATTTGAGAAATTTCTCTATTAAACCACCAAGTTCCAACTTTGGTAGTGGCTTTAATTAAGTAGAAAAATGAAGCCCAGCTTGCTCTCCCCCTCACACAAATCACCTACAACAGTTAACTGTAGGAAGCAATTTTGAATCACTGATTACTGTTCACTGGTAAGATGATGACAGCGGGCACCACATAAACCATCAAATCTCTAGTAGAACTTCCTCTGTCCAGTAGACACTTCCTGTGATGGTGGAGGTGTTCTGTATCCTGGGGTTTCCAATATGGTAGCCTCTTGCCATATGCGGCTACTGGGCACTTGAAGTATTGCTAATGGGACCAAGGAACTAAATTTTAAATTTTAATTCATTTGAATAGCCACATGTGGCTAATGGCTACCACAGTGGACAGTACAGTTCTAAAGTACCTAAGAGAAGAAAAACACACACACACACGTTTCACTTAATAGCTAACAGACGTTTATTAAAAATTGAAGATTACAGAAAAGCATAAGATTTGCTTTATTAAACAAGCTCAATTAACTTAGCTTCCACTAATCAATGAAAGTATTTAATATCACAAAAGGAATTTTGAAAATGAGGTTGATTTCAACCTCTGAAATTAAAAACAAAAGAAAAGCAGCTAAGACATTTTCAGAAGGAGAGCAACCACAGACCTCCCTCTAGTGGCAAGAGATAAAGTTGCTGTTGAAAGTTGAGTTGCTTCTGAAACTATATAAAACTGCTCACAGACATTTCTTTTATATAATTATAACCTAAAGACTCTAGATTAATATATAAGGAAAACAGATAGGATTTTTGTAAACAAAAGTTAGACCTAATTTTCACTTGCTATGAATGCTATCTCTCTAGAAATCTGATCTCTCCAGAAAAAAATGATTTGCCAATGGAAATCGTGGCTTTCAACAAAACAAAAGTTTATGGAGCCTTAACCAAACTGTGAGCAAAAGAGAGGAGACCTAATTCTTCTCTGTTGATAAATGTGCTGGGATGGAACATGTAAAGGAGTGAATTATGAAGTATAAAGTAGTAAGCAGCAGTGGGGTTTGTAAAAACTCACTGTACATCAAAAGAAACAAAATATTACAAGAGATTTTAATACCCAAAACAACACACTGTTCAGTCTGATATTCAGCTTCAAAAGACAGCTCTGCCACATTGCCAGTTTTAATTACAACCATACATACACATTCAGATTTAACTACAGAACTACTACTTCCAAGTACAAGAAGGAACTCAAAATAGAAACGACCTGTGTTACAGCTATTGTCTTTCCCTTACAGCTTTCAGGAAAAACAGCTTTTATATACACTGTAGTAAGTACAGAATGTACAGAAGACAGTTATATATACAAAAGTGCATTAATATAGTAATACATTTAGCAGAAATACAGGAAAAAAATCCTGGTTAACAATCTGATACATTACAGTATTTAAGACTACTTGAAGATTCTCCAAACCAGTCAACTTCCTACTTGCTTTGGTTATGATATTGATGCTACATAACTAACCTCTGAAACTGAAAAAAAGTGAAATTTTTAACCATCCGTGAAATGAAATGTTTTACATATACTTGTGTTTATCTTTAATAGCTTTTGACAATAGTCCTATTAAACTCCCAACACAAAGATTTAGAATGGATAATAACTTTACCTAAATTAGAGTACTCAAAGAGGAAATTAAATTGATCCACTACAGGAACAGACATAGTCTGATCCATTCCTAAAAGCCTCAGCTAGATAACCTAACCCCAAAGTCCAAACTTAAATCCAACTGGTCAGCTACTATTGAAGAGCAAGCAGCTCCAGAAAACAAGCCATGGCTTCAGGCCACTGTTCCTTAGAACAAGTCAGAGTAGGTAAGTGTTAACTTGTCATTTATACATATTAATTCTACAACTACCTTTATATAGTCAAAATGCATATGTATAATCAGAGCAATTCTCCTCTTTTCTACCCCTAGCCCTCACCACAAAAAAAGAACACAGATTTCCACAGGTTCCACTGACCACAAAGATGTAACAAACCTGACGATAAAGAAAAAATACTATATACTGAAATCAGAGAAGACTAAACCAGTTTTTCAGAGTTCATTATGAATGTCAAATTAAAAATTAACTTACCATCATGTGATCTAGGTTAAAACATTAATAACTTTAATTTAAAATAAAATTGTGAGGGGGGCTTAAAATAAATAATTTTAATATTAGAAAAAATATGAAAATAAAATTTTAGTGAGTCAAGTTAGATCTGCAGCTATAGCATGCAACTTCTGTACTCTATTAATAGCCAGTAAATTAGAGGAATTTTCAGGGTTCCTTCTAAGCCTTTGGAATAAGTAAATTATTTTCCAAAGAAATGAGAATTAAGCTAGAATTCTAAGGAGCTATGTTCCAGATACTATGCTGACAGAGACGCCTAGGTCTAAATATCTCTCCGATGTTTCTCACCCACTTAGCATAATTTCATTGTAAAGATAGAATTTATCTTACTTTGTCAGACTTAAAATGAATCCAAAGTTACCACAATACATGTGTATACAAATACTTATTTTCTAACTAACAGTCCTTTTCAGGATTAGATTTACCTCTAAGTTTAGACATGTTGAATGTCAGTGTGCTCAACACCAATACCATATTTGAAATACAACTGGGAATCTTCCTATCAACTGTCCCAAACTATAAACTGACTTTAAGTAACCCCCTCCCAATTCTAAGCAAACATTTCTTGAAGACTGAAGAGCTAACAGGTAATCTGTTAAAGGGAAGGGGAGTGTTCCAGCTATTACACAAATGAATGCAAAGAATCCCTAAAGTTCTAATAAGAGAATCAAGCTGCTATATAATCTCTGTTCTTGACATACTTTTGTCTTTAAAATTATCTTTCCAGATACTAAGAATTACCTGGCATTAAAAAAGCATTCTGGCTTATGACCTTTTTCAGGGGAAAAAATGAGAGAATACATTAAGCTCTACTTAAGGTAACTTTCAGTGTTCTTCAATGACCTAGCTGGGCCAAAAATGAAGTTATGTAATGAAATTTAAGATCTGAAAGGTCACTGTTTTGTTATACACTATTACCACTGATTGGTTCAATTTAATGTTTTTGCTTACTGATATCCAACAGATGGGGATTTTATAAAACAAATTACAATATTTAGATTATTTTTGAGTTTGAAAAAGACTGATATTGAGAAAAAGTACAGAGTTCACCTTTAAGGCACATGAGGCTATAAAGTAAGCCATGAACAAAAGTCTCTGCTACAGAATCTGGAAACAAGACTTCTATATTTGTCAAGTACTAACATTTTTGGCTTAAATATGAAGATACGTGATAAATTTCAATTTTTAAAGCTCATCAGAATCTGGATACCTTTATACAGTAGTTTCTAGGAATTTTTCCTAAGCACTTCTAGGAGCTAAATAAAATGAGGCCTCCACCCAATTCATAAAGTCATTAAATTACAAGTCAGTTTCTGGGATTAATTCAGCAATACCTATCTATAGTTAACCCAAAGGGCTAAGGAAATGGACAAAACTGCCCCAACCTAAGAAAAAATGAGACAAGTCTCTCTCATGAAAAAAAGCGTTATTTTATTCTATGTTCTTGTTAGGGCAGAATGAATTCGCTCTTTATAGTCCACTAAACATTATACTACTTTGCCATACTTTAATTCAGTTGTAAAACTGTAGAAAAAGACATGCCATTTTGTTTAACTCAAAGTTCATACATGTGGTGGGCACTGACAGACTTCTACAAGAGCTCCTTTTTTTTCCAGTTTTATTGAGATATAATTAAACTTACATAAAGATCTCTAATGTTTTTCAAAAAATCTGAGGGAACGTGATCATGCCCTAAGTTAACAAAGGTTATGTTTAAAGGGGGGAAGAAACTTATTTGCTCCAGTGTCCATTCTCTACAGATGATAACTGACACTGGAGCAAATAAGTCTCATGTTTTTATTAATTGGTTAGTTTAGGTTTATATTTAAAAAGAAAAAATGCTGAGTTGGATTTGTCTTAAACTCAGAGATATACTAGACTGAATAAATTATTACTTATTCCAAGAAAGAAAGAATTCCAACTTGAATTATCTACATGAGATATTAAAACAGAAAAAAACAGTATAGCACATTAACAAAAACGAGAGAACTTTTTGTTTTACTGCTTTTTTTTTTTATGGGGGGAGAGATGGAGAAAGACTTTGTAATCTCCCTCTTCCACATCACAAGCAAACCCAAGTTGTTTTAATTTTTTTTCTTTTAATCAGAGGAATTACTTTCAATCTCCTCTAAACCAACTTTATGGGCAATCTCTAATTTATAGTACTGTAAAGACAGTGCATCCAGATTTACACAAAATTTCATGGCATACTTTACTATAAACACTCAAATCTTTATAAACTTTTAAAACTGGCTTTGTGGTGCTTTGGTAAACTTGTTTAATAGTGACTTAAGTTAAATCTAAGGTAATAAGATTATGTGATTGTTGGGAGAGTGGAAAAATTGGTCTTATTTTATCATGACCCCGTTAGGACTTTCTTTTACTGGTCATTGTCAATTGTTTCCAAGTATTTAACAGATAAATGCTGCTCTATGGTCTCCAAAAGTGGACTGTTTTCCTGGAAGAGTAGGTAAAGAAAACAGACAAGTCATTCTCTGGGATTTTGCTTTTGCTAAGAGCAGGCAGAAAATTCAGCTTTATTTGCTCTTCTCTCCTTTTACTCCTCCTATACTTGGAAGGGAAAACACAATGAGGTTGACCCTTTCCACCTTCCTCAAAGTATTCTGGGGTCTAACCCCAAGCTCTCTTTGGGCCCTCTAAAGGTGGTTAGGAGCATCAAAGAAAGGGTAAGAGGAAAGTCAGAGGGAGTAATCCAACTGATAACCATATACACATACCTTCATTTTAGGTAAAATTTTTAAGTATGAATTTGGTAGTCTTCAAAATCTACCATACCACAGACCTCAGCAAAGCTGCAATACATCAATTTTTATCCTCAGTTTCAATCCTTTAACCTTCAAGGAACTAAAGTAAAATCAAGTTTTCAAAACACATGATTGTAAGCCAAGGTTAAGCCTTTATATCAACTGAGAATTAAGAACTTAAGTCTATCTCTTTCTTAAGGAGTCACTTGATATGATAGTTAAAAAAAGTAAAAATCCTATCAACCTGATTCTAGAGTTTAAAAAAACATTGATTACAACTCCTACAGAATCATGATTACCTCCCAAGTTATCCACAATAAAAAGAAAATTATGAAAGTCAGCAGCTTGATTGTCAGTAGTATCAGTTTCCATCTTCTTTAACCCACGTGAATGCTTAAAGACATGTGGTAGAAGAAAAGGAATTACACTACTCCTAATGTTCATGATAACAAACTCTCCATGAAAACATTTAAAGAAATTCCATGATTTCACATCTAAAATTGACTTCTATTAATAGCCAACAAGCTACGGTTTTTTTCTACATCTCACTGTTCTGTGTATTTCTAGTGATTTATAGAGAAGTTTAGGAGAACTTTAAGGGTTTTCTTTAGTTAACTTTGAACATTAACCTGTTCACATGCCAGAAGCTTATACCAAATATTTAAAAATTAGAGCTGTGCTGGAAAAAAAAACGACCTACAAAAAGAACTTAAGACATAGTTTCTGCCTTTGAGACAGCTTCACAGCCTAAAATTTCAAAAAGCAGTGGAAAAGCAGAATCGGTTGTTTTGCTTAATTGCTTTCTCCATTTGAATATTAATCAATATAGCATCAAGTCTAAAGTTCAGCTACTAGTAACATTATTTCCTCAGTAGTCCTCACTTACAAAAGAATTCTGAATTTACATAAAGTGAAAAACAAACCTAACAGGAAAGACATTAGGGCCTGTTATTACACCTTTAAGTTAATAACAAATGAAAACAGAACTAAACCTAATGAAGGCACTATTGTAAACAGCAATCCACACCCCAACCCCACAACCTCAAAAAAGGATTTTCACTAGGAATTGAGAATACTATGGCCCTTTAGAAAAAGCAAACTAAGGAACTGTAACATTAAAAAGGAAACTGAATTATGATCGCTACGTATGTACCTATACTGACATAATAAACTACTTGTCAGCAGTACCTTGAAATCCTCTAAACTGTAAAAGTACTACTTCTTGAAAAAGCCCACTTAAACCACCCTAAAGTCTAAATAGTCAAAACATTTACTAAATTAGTGGTTCTTAAAACAAGAGCTGCGTGCAGCAGAATAACCTGGTGCTTGTTAAAACACAATGCTGGGCCCCTCCTCCAGGGTTTCTGATTCACTGGATCTGGAATGGGACCTGGTAGTATGCATTTCTAACAACTTCTCAGGTGATGCTGAAGCTGCTGGTCCGGGGACCACCTGCTGAGAACCACTGGCCTAAATTATTAACGGTACATCAGCACAGCCCTAACCAAAAGTTTGGTCAAGATGCATGTAAACAAATAAAAGGACAGAATACTTAAATGCTTAGAAAGAATGCTGATAAATTCATCCTTATTACATCAAAACATCTACATCTGCTTCGTGGTCTTCCTCAGTCACTTTCAAGGACAGCACTTCTTCATTAAGGAAGAGCCCACTGAGCCTCTCCTTCCGAGCCTGCCTCTGTTCTTTCAGCTGCCTCTTGCGTAAAGCCTTCTGCTGTAACTTCCGCTGCTTGGATCGCTTCTGTCAAAATACAAATTTCTAAATCAGTAAGGTTCAGTTCTGGCATATCCACCCCAGAATATTTTATGGATCAAATTCTATATTTTTAGAATCTCTGGAGATGTTCAAATTCCTCTGCAGTACGATCCTGGTTCCAGTAAGTGAGCCATTGGCTTAGACTTGGAAATGATTCTTCAAGATTCTATTTTTATGGTATTTGACCCGTGAATCTTAGGAAGAATTGAAACCCGATCATTCTGCCTAGTTATGGATAATCAGTCATTTCAAAGCTTTTTTTTTTTTTTTTTTTTTACCAGATTAAGGTACATTGGCGTCACTGCGGAGTGAACACATAATAAACAATACTGAATACCAATGTAGAGAACATTGCCAAAATCTCTAATGCTTATGCTTTTAAGGTGTCTTTTATCCAAACGCAGTAGCGATTTTACAACGGCTGGGAAAGAATCATGTCTTTTCCATATTAGGCAAATACCATCTTAAAAGCCCATTAGAAACCCAGTGGGTACTCCATTCCTTGTCACTGGTGAACTGATGCAAAAAAGGAATGACCACATATCCAGAGGAATCCCCAGGCAACCAACAAAGCTGGCTATGTTTCTGCTACTTTGGTAAGAGCCAGGGAAGGAATCACTGTCTATCTTCTAGTCACCCACTGGGTTCCCAAAGAGTTATAGAGATACCTTTTTCTTCCTTAAGTTGGCTCCAAACTGTCACCACCGCAAGGAACCGAACTTACCTAAGCATCACAAAACCATTCTAAATACACTTACACCTCCCTATTTTTTTTTTGCCCAAAAGTATTACAAAGAATTCTTCAGCTGTGAATAGACAGAAATTAGAGGTGTTATTATAATTTAAAAGATCTAAGAACATTCAAGATTAAAACATTAAGAAAACATTTAATACACACACACACAAGACATGCAGAACATTCTTAGGAGCTAATAGACAGCAACATCAGCAACATAGTGAGATCCGCTCAGTAGTGAGTTGCAGTCGATACTGCAATCCTGAGACTCACTCACTATTTCCATCAATTTATCTTACTTAAAACAGACACAAATATCAGGTAAAATTGAATGTGATACGGCTGTGGGTCAAAACAATATTTCAAAGCACTCAGCCTAAAGGCCTCTACTCAACAGCAGAATATCCTGCTTGTTCACTTAAAGCCAAAACCCAAAGGCATCTAGAGAGCAAGATGATTTGACCTCTTCAAGATATTTATATGAAGGAGTACTAATGTTAATATTGAAAGGTAAAGTTTTGTATTGATTAGACATTTTACTTTTGAATCCCGAATCCGCTCTGCTGCACTTGCAGACAAGTTGCTGTCACTGTGTGCTCGACTCATGTTGGCACTGGAGTTTGAAGCAGAGTTTCCAACACTGGACCCACTGCTGCTTGCAGAACTGACCATGCTGGCACTGCTGCTGCTGGCGCTGGCACTGGCCCCGCTCACTCCACTGGTGCTTGCGCAACTAAAGTTGCTTCTCTTCCAGGCCTCTCTTGCAGGCCGTTGGCGAGGGCTATGCTCCTTGATATAGTTTCTGACCTTGGAACACACAGACAAAAACTGGTCAGTGTCGTTCTTTGACATGCTCCCTCAAAATACTGGCAAAAAGAACACTGTACATAATGAAAGACATTATCAGAAGTGCTACAGATGTACTCATCATCAGGGGAATGCAAATCAAAACTACAATGAGGGGCGCCTGGGTGGCTCAGTCATTAAGCATTTGCCTTCGGCTCAGGTCATGATCCTGGAGGCTTGGGATGGAGCCCCGCATCCAATCCATTGGGCTCCCTGCTCAGCAGGGAGTCTGCTTCTTCCTCTGCTCCTCCCCCCGGCCCTGCTCATGTTCTCTCTCTCCCCTTTGCTCACTCTCTCCCTCAAATAAAAATCTTAAAAAAAAAACTACAATGAGATACCACCTCACACCTGTCAGAATGGCTAAAATCAACAACACAAGAAACACCAGATGTTGGTGAGGATACGGAGAAAGGGGAACCCTCCTGCACTGTTGTTGGGAATACAAACTGATGCAGCCACTCTGGAGAACAGTATGGAGGCTCTGCAAAAGGCTAAAAATAGAGCTACCCCATGATCCAGCAATTGTACCACTAGGTATTTACCCAAAGAATAAAAAAATACTAATTCGAAGAGATACATGCCCCCCCCATGTTTATACCAGCATTATCAACAACAGCCAAATTATGGAAAGAGCCCAAATGTCCATCAACTGATGAATGGATAAAGAAGATGGGGTATGTATATATATAATAGAATATTACTCAGCCATCAAAAAGAATGAAATCTTGCCATTTGCAATGACGTGGATAGAGCTAGAGAGTATTATGTTAAGCGAAATAAGTCAGTCAGAGAAAACAAATACCATATGATTTCATTCATACGTGGAATTTAAGAAACAAAACAAATAAGCATAGGGAATAAAAGAGTGAGAGAGGAAAACCAAGAAACAGACTCTTAACTATAGAGAACACACTGATGGTTACCAGAGGGGAGGAGGGTGAGGGGATGAATTAAATAGGTGATGGGGATTAAGGAGGGCATTTGTGAGGAGCACCGGGTATTGTCCATAGGTGTTGAATCACTAAATTGTACACCTGAAACTAATATTATACTGTATGTTAACTAACTAGAATTTAAATAAAGACAAAAAAAAAAGGTTGGATTGGATCCTGGGATAAAACAAGACATTAGCTGAAAAAATGGTGTAGCCTGAATACAATCTGTAGATTATTTAATAGTACTGTATCTATGTTAACTTCTTGCTTGATTAGTGTACCAAAAAAATAACTTTAATAGATGCTTAACAAATAGTGAGAATAAAATACAGTAATTATAAAGAAATAAAAATAACATTTATTGAATACAGATTTGTAAACGTGGATTATAATCTAGGTTGATTTCTTTGGCTCTTTCCTGAGTTGTAGGCTCCGTGAAGACAAGGATCATTTCAAAACTGTTTTGTATCCTAATATTTAATAGACAATATTGTTAAATAAATAAATCAAATAAAAAAGTGCTAGAGATGTACATAAGTAGACTATAAGGATGAAAGAAATCTCTAAATGTAGAAACAATACCAAAAAAATTGACAATGTTCAAAATTCTAGAATATATATTATGGAGCTATATATTAAAAACATATAGGGGCGCCTAGGTGACTCAGTCGTTAAGCGTCTGCCTTGAGCTCAGGTCATGATCCCGGGGTCCTGGGATTGAGTCCCACATCAAGCTCCCTGCTCCGGAGGAGGCCTGCTTCTCCCCTTCCCACTCCCCCTGCTGTGTTCCCTCTCTCACTGTCTCTCTCTCTGTGTCAAATAAATAAAATCTTAAAAAAAATTAAAAAAAAAACATATAAAATATAATCAGCAAATGGAAGGCTATGAGCCTCCAGAATTTAAGATTATAGGGAAATAACATTCAGAGGAGCCTGGGTGGCATAGTTGGTTAAGTGTCCAACTCTTGGTTTCAGCTCAGGTCGTGACCTCAGGGTTATGATATCAAGCCCTGAGCTGGGCTCTGCACTGAGCAGGCAGTCTGCTGGTTTCTCTTTCTCCTTCTCCCTCTGCCCCTCCCACGGCTTACTCTCTCTCTCTCTCTCTCTCTCAAATAGTCTTAAAAAAAAAAAAAGAAAATAACACTCAGAGAAATGAACAATAAAACAAATCAGATTAGGCATTTTTTAAAGGTCTTAATATGATTTAAGTAAGTTGCTGATTATATCTAAGATTAGGGTGTTTCCTAAATCTTAGCTAGGGGCCCATGGTACCTGTCTTCAAATGCAAGGCACAATTTCAATACTAATGAAAAACGAGCTGGAATGTAGAAAATTATAGTATGTCTGTTGAGAGAAATAGTGAAATAAAAAAATTTTTTAAAGTGATGATAAAGGCAAAAAAAAAAAACTTAAAAAATGAAAAGAGAACATAAGTATTCATTCAACTATGTACCGAAAAAGAGCAGTAGAGACTATTTAGAAGATACCAGAAATGTGTATTTCAGAATAGCAGAAGGAAAATTACATTTTACCCTAGCCAGGCTCAATCACTCCATAAGACTACTCAAATCCCCCATTCAGATGTTCACTCAAGTATAGATAGTCCTCAATAATCAGTATTTTGATTCTGTCAATTACTCTTTTTTAAGGTGAGTTAGAATAAATAAATTGCATAACCACCCCTTAAGTGGTAAAATTAAGTTGCAAAGCCTACACAACTAAACAGGAGGTTCTAGAACCACATGATCCCAGAAAGGCCCTGCCAGGTGAGATGTACCTAAAACCTTACAACCATGTGCTCTCAAATACTGCCATCATTTTTTCTAATATTACATTTCACAGCAGTGATATGGACCTTAATTATTTGTGTATTTTAAAATATGATTATTCAAGTCTACATACTATAAACTAATGGTTTTCTTCATAGCTGTACAATCTGTATTTTCTTTACATACCTGCTTCAGTTTTTCATCTGTGAGACAGTTAAGTTCAATAATAAACTCACTGTCTGTAGGGGAAATTTGAGCAGAAGGATCAATTATTTTTATAATATCAAGTTGCTCCCGAAGACCCATCTCCGTACTGACTTTACGACTCAGATACTCAATATATTCCACCTATGTGATGAAAAATTATAATAAACAAGATCAGTGCCAAAACCTCTGATATTTTAGTGTGTCATTTATAATGTGTTTCAAATATCAAAAGCACTTAACATGATAGGTGTTCCCTGCAAAACAGTTAAAGCTCCCCCTCAGATTTTACTAAGCAATCCACATTTACCCAGTAGCTTTAAACAGGCAATACATTGAGTTTCACATAGTCCCTACATGTATGCTTTCAATTAAGAACGTCAAGATCCCTACCTGCTCATCGTTTGTCATTGCACTCCAAGGAAGTTCATCTAAATTCCGGTGCTTATTTTTCTTTTTAGGAAGCAGGCAAGGTGAACTGGGAATACTGGGTATGACATCAGAAAGTACATCACTCCCACTGGCAATGTCACTGCCTGGTAACTTTATAAAAATAAGAAGGGGGTGGGAAAAGCAAAATTTTTCAAAAATACATTTTAAATACAACATTTTTCATATTGACTAAAAATTACTTTTTAATGACAAATACAGAATGAGAAGACATTAATTCTGATTCACTATTTTAGACAAAGCAGCAACATCAACATATTCTTTGTATACAGTCACTCAATGAGATACTTTCCAAAAGCTGAAAATCATAATCAAGACTTGTTAATAAAATGCTAACTTAAGAGTCAATCATCATTAGCGTTTTTAATTCACAGTGTGAATGTAGGCTAGGGCTCACACAGCATGATGAATAAGGAACACTGGTCTCCATCTCAGGAGACAGGACTGATCTGCCATTACCTGGCTCTTTGCCTAACATTATGCTGGACATACTGTCAATATAAGACAAATAAGCCATGGTCCTTGTGCTCAAGTCAGTATTAACAAGGCAATTAAAATAATTTAAAATATGCTGTTAATATAGAGCAAAACACTTTAAAAATCAGAAGCATTATAAAAGAAAAATTAGAAAAATGCTGAGACAATGTGTAGACAAAGGAGAAAAGCAAGCAAGCCTAATACACAGAAAATCACTTTAAAGTGAGATGTACACCAAAAAATAATGTGCTATAATTTTATACTGCCTAATAAAAATAGAATGGATCTCATTTTTTAACAGCTATCTTGAGTCATACGTGATGCAAAGAACAGTACATATCTAATACATATAATTTGAGGACTCTGGACATAAGCATATGCCCATGAAACCATCACCACAATCAGGGTAATAAATATATCACCTCCAAAAGTCAGAATGGTTTTGATTTTAAATAAATGTGTTTAGGGACACCTGGCTGGCTCAGTTGGAAGAACATGCAACATTTGATCTTGGAGTCATGAGTATGAGTCCCACATTAGGTATAGAGAGATACTTAAATCAACTTTTAAAAATAAACAAACAAATAAATTTAAGTCATTCACCAGAAAGATAATTTCTTCTACAAGGAGTACGTAATTTTCAAAGATAATGCTTTCATTTTTACAAGGTACAAAATACCACCTTTTTGTTGTTGTTGTCCTTTGCAATTGCATCTGAACTCTGGAAGATTACTAGGCTTTTGAGGTTACCAAAAGAGAAAAGCTACTTTTGCCACAAAGATTATTGCAATCACACACATCTGGCCTCCTACTATACCTGAGCATTCTAATAGGTACAGGGGATTCAAAGGATTTTAAGTCATGGTGCTTATACAAAAACTTTATACTCTACTGGGGAAGATAGTAACACAAACATACAATTATACAAAATAGCAAATGACAAATGCTAGGTTTGAAATGACAGGTCATCAATAGAAATATCTAGCAGTGAGTTAAAGCTGCAGGATTAAAGCTTAGGAAAGCTACAAGGGGACAGGCAATGGGGAGTCAGCTGCACAGAAGAGATAAACGAAGATACAAAAATGGGGTTGATCACCATGCAAGGTGACCATGATGCTTAGAATGAAATTGTCTAAGTTAGCTACTCCTGTTAAAAACCACATTTTCATTTTAACAGTCACTGATGAGTCCAAGTACATAAATGACTACCAACAATTTGTATGACTTCCGTTAAAATCTCATTAACTAACACTGCTTGAATTGTTCATTCACCCTTAGCTTTGATGTTACCTAGTCAGTGTCATGAAAGAATAATTGCTGAATGCATAGATGAAGGCCACCTTTCAGTCTTTAATGTCAAAAAAAAATGTTTTGCTATTTTCCCTTTGAAAGACTTCAAATACAACACTACTACATTAAAGATCTCCCTGGGGTTCCTAAAACAAAATGAAACAGTCCTTATCAGATGAAAGGCCTCCCCTACTTCAAGCTCCTTTGATATATTAGGTAAAGGAACTATCAAAATATGTATACTCTCAAAATTTAAGAACAATTTCCATTTAAATCTTTAGTGAACATCCGCTAGGTAACAGACTATATGTTAAGCACTTAAATTTGTGCCTTTGGTTCTATTTATGTGTTTGCTGGGGGTGGGGGGTGGGATAAAGAAGGCAACTAGTGGTTCTTCAGCTATTTTTTTTTTCAGGGAGAAGTAAAAAGATGCCAGAGTTTAAATCCCAGTTCTGCTGCTCACTAGCCATGTGATCTTGTAGAGGTTAGTTTGCTTCTTTGAGCCCCAGAGTAATGGTTAATGCCATCCATCTCAAAGGACTGTTGAGAAATTTACATGAGGTGATAGGCCTGGCACAAGGCAACACTCAATAAACAGATATGTCTTCCTTTTTCCATCTCTTTCCATGGTTTTGTACCCTTATAAAAGGTAGCATAAGCCATCAGAGAATTCCACATGTTGCTAAAGTGGGTGAAGTTTCACAAGGTACTCTCAGAATCACAGAATGGGGAAAAGGAGAAGGCATTCAAGTAAGAACACCTTGGTAAAACCACAGATTTAAAAAAAAAATAGGATGAGGATAAGGAGACTAATATAATTAAAACAGAAAATTGGGGCACCTGGGTGGCTCAGTTGGTTAAGCGTCTGCCTTCAGCTCAGGTCATGATCCCAGGGTCCTGGGATTGAGCCCTGCGTCCAGGCTCCCTGCTCAGCGGGGAGTCTGCTTTTCCCTCTGCCCCTCACCCCGCTCTCATGCTCTCTCTCACTCTCTCTCAAATAAACCAAATCTTAAAAAAAATAGAAAATCAGTGTTATGGAATTGAAAACTCAATGGATGAACAAGCTGTTATATGATATGCAGAAGTAGGCCAGTAACATTTTCTAAGTAGAAGTAACTTGATGAAACTAGTCTTGAGGGAAGATGAGTTAAAAAGCAGTACAGGGACAAAACAGAGTGAGGAAAGACTAGAATCAGACAGGAAGTTCTTATTTGATCTAGACTTGGACTAAGATAAAAATGCAAAGAAAAATGGGAATAAATAGGGAGAATTTCAAAAGAAAAACAATTCACAAGGCTGTTTTTAAGATTTTATTTTTAAGTCATCTCTACACACAACATGGTGCTCAAACTCACAACTCTGGGATCAAGAGTCACATGTTCCTCTGACTGAGACAGCCAGATGTTTGATAACTGAATGGATGATAGATGACCATTTGTTGAAACCAGAAGAAAACTGGCCACATTTCACAGTCATACAACCCATCCAGGGTAATGCACTTAAAAGACCTCAATTTTTTATAGCAAGAGACCGGAGGCAATATTATAGATCTTCTAGTCCAACACCCTCATTTTACAAATAAGGAAAAATGATGTCTAGGGAGGGTCATATGGCTAGTGCCAGTATCCAAACTGGGACACAAGTCTGGTGCTTTCAGCTATGCTGGGCTGTCTTGCCTTGCAGGTAGTTTGGAATGAGAGAAGAAGGCAATTTAGAATATGGTAAGTTTGTAGTGATAATGAAAGCAGCAAGTGCAAATGTCCTTCAAAATGACAATAGTCATTTTTCACTACACTGTAAGACATGTCACAAAGCGGAGTCTATTTTTTTCCCGTGGAAACACTGTAATTGGAAGCTACATTACTGATCAAGGACTTGGCATCAGATAATAGGTACATTAAATAATAAGGTCATCCAAGTGGAAATGTCAAGTAGTCAATTGGAGATATAGGATTAGAGTTGCAGATGTACATCAGAATTAACTGTATGAGCTCCTGTATATTTATTAGATGAGCAATTTTCCATTTTATATCTCAAGCTAAAAATGCTTAATAATTCTTATTCCATATTTTTCATGGACAAAAATATTTAGTATATTTCTATTATAATCAGTAACTGTGACAAGTAGGGAGAATTAAATCAAACCTCTGCCATATTTTCTGCAGTATGCAGCAAAATTTCATGAGTAAGCTCATTTCTGTAACAAATGATGTGTAATTTCAAACTGCACCTTTAGGTTTCAAGTGTGACAGCTGAATTACTCACTCTTTAAATTTTCTATGGTTCCCTGCTCAACAGTAATTTCTCAAGCTCTAACACTAATCAAATATAGCTTTAATAATAAAAGGACTGCAAGCAAAGAAGACTATCAGAAAAGCAAAATGCTTTGATGCTAGTTCACTGTAAGGTTAAAACCTTGCCTTATCAAGTAGTATTTCTCTTCCCAGAGAATCTATGAACCCTTTATATTTACTTTAGTAGTAACTGAAACATGTTAAAAAGATTTCAACAAATGTAGTTTTTAATCACAACAGAGGTAACAGGAATTTTTAAGTTATAGTTAATGATTTTAACCTATATTAATCCCAACACATAATTTTTAATTATCTTCTTGGATAATTTACTGCTCATCATTGCAAGGTCCCACAAAGACAAGAGAGCATTTTAAACCTTTCAGAATATATAAATAGCAAACATCCATGGTAACAGAATACCCACACTCCACTTTCAGAAGTGGGGAAACACATTACTAAGGCAGGCCTCATTTTTGTTCCAATGTCCTAGTCAGTCATGTACATTTTTAGTGAGTAGTTAGGGATAGTTTTCCACTCTACTCATGAAATGAGTGAAGTCAGCAATTAAAATTAAAAAATGCCTGCCACTTTGCAACATTATGGATAAAAACTCTAAATCAAATAATCAGAAAAAATAATTCTCAGAATTATCAGAACTCCATCCGATTATACTTTATTAAGAATCCTTATAGTAGTCTGATTTTAAACACAAAGCGTACACTGAAGAAATGAAGCACAGGGGGCGCCTGGGTGGCTCAGCCGTTAAGCGTCTGCCTTCGGCTCAGATCATGATTCCAGGGTCCTGGGATCAAGGCCCGCATTGGGCTCCCTGCTCCACGGGAGGCCTGTTCTCCCTCTCCCACTCCCCCTGCTTGTGCTCTCTCTCACTATGTCTCTATCTGTCAAATAAATAAAATCTTTAAAAAAAAAATGAAGCACAGAATAAAAAGGTACCCACACAAAGATGTTTACTGCTGTGTTACCAATAGTAGAAAAAATTTTGAAACAAATGTAAAAGGAATGGTCTCACAAGTTCTGGCACCAGGAATATTATAGTCCCAGGAATAGTACCAGGAATATGATATAGTCATTAAAAGAGTCATTATGAAGATCATGAAAAAGTTTATACCTTAAATGGGAAACTGTATTACAGTATGTTATCAAGAAGAGAAGGGAATACTTCCTAACCCATTCTATGAGGCCAAAGCAATACAAAGATATCACAAGAAAACTACAGACCAATATCCCTTATGAATGCAGATGCAAAAATTCTCAGCAAAATGAAATCCAGCAGCTTATTAAAACAAATATATACCATGACCAATTCAGATTTATTCCAGGAATGCAAGGGTGGATCAACATACAAAAATCAATGTAGTACATCATACTAATAGAATAAAGGGAAAAAACTGCATGATCATCTCAATAAAGGCAGAAAAAGTATTTTCACAAAATCTAAATAGTTCTTTCAGATAAAAACACCGAACAAACAAGGAATAGAAGGGAAATTCCTTAATATGATAAAGGGCATTTATGAAAAACCTACAGCTACCATTATGCTCAATGGTGAAAGACTGAAAGCTTCTCTCTTAAGATCAGAAAAGACAAGGATGCCCATTTTTGCAACTTCTATTCAACACTGGACTGGCGATCTAGCTAGGGCAATTAAGCAAGGAAAAAAAGAGCTACCCAGACTAGAAAGGAAGAAGAAAACCTATCTCTATTCACGGATGACAAGATTTTAAACATAGAAACTCTAAAGAATCCACACAGAAAAAATAATCATTTAAGCTAACAATTGAGTTCAGCAAAGTGGTAGGATACCAAATCAATATATAAAAATCTAGTTTTATTTCTATACCCTAGCAACGAACAATGCAAAAATGAAATTAAGAAAACAATTACATTTTCACCAGCATCAAAGGAATAAAATATGTAGGAATAAATTGAACCAAGGAAGTACAAGGCTTGGACACTAAAAATAACAGATTCAATGCAATCCCTACCAAAATTCCAACTGCCCTTTTTGCAGAAATGGAAACCTGATCCTAAAACTCATGTGGAATTGCAGAAGGGATCCCCAATAGCCATAACAATCTTAATAAAGAACAAAAGAGAACCTCATGCTTCCTGATTTCAAACTTTACTACAAAGCTAGAGCAATTAAAACAGTGTGGTACTGGCATAAGGATAGCCATATATATTAATGGGATAGAATTGACAGTCCAGAACTAAACCTACATATCTATGACCAATTCATTTCCACAAGGGTACCAAGACCATTCAATAAGCAAAGAATATAGTTTTTTCAACAAACGGTCTTGGTACAACTGAATATTTACATGCAAAATAATGAATCTGTACCCCTTATACATTTGTTATTTGTATCCCATATACAAAAAGGAACTCAAAATGGATAAAAAAAAAAGACTAGATGTAAAAACTTAAACTGTAAAACTCTAAGAAGGAAACAGGTGAAAATCTGCATGACCTTGGATTAAGCAATGGTTTTTTAAAATATGACATAATAAGCACAGTATTCAAAGAAAAAAATAAATTGAACTTTACTAAAATTAAAACCTTTTGTGTGTCAAAGGACAGTATCAAATAAAAAGACAACCCACAGGAAGGGAAAGATCTTTTGTAAATCATGTATAAGGGTCTAGTAGCCACAACATATAAAGAACTCTTACAACGCAATAAAAGACAATACAATTTAAAAATGGGCAAAGGATTTGAACAGACCTTTTTTCCAAAAAATACCAATCAATGAAAAGCAAGCATATGAAAAGATGCTCAACATCATTAGTCATCAGGGAAATGCAAATTAAAACCAAAATGAAATACCCCTTTACACACAGTAGGATGGTTATAATCAAAAAGACAGACAATACCAAGGTTTGGCAAGGATATGGAGAAATTAGAAGTTTCATATATTGCTGGTGGAAATGTAAAATGGTACAGCCACTTTGGAAAACATTTTGGTAGTTCCTCAAAAAGTTAAACATAAAGTTATCACATGACCCAGCAATTACACTCCTAAGTGTGTGTCCAAGAGAATTACAAATATACATCCATAGTATGTCAACTATACTTCAATAATAAAAAAGATACATCCATATAAAAACTTTTATCTGAATGTTCAAGGCAGTATATTCGTAACAGCCCCAAACTGGAAACCACCCATCAGCAGATGAATGGATAAACAAAATGTGATGTGTCCATATCTATTCAGGAATGAAAAGGAATTGGTGTGGACTGAATGTGTGCACCCTCCCTTCACCACCAGCACCAAATCCTTATCTTGAAGCCCTAATCCTCAATTAGGAGGATCTGGGGGTAGGGCTTTGGGTGATAATTACATTTACATGAGAGTAGAGCCCCCATGATGGGATTGGTAATCATAATTATAAGGGGATGAAGAGACCACAGCTCTCTCTCCCTTCTCCATGTGAAGATAAAGCAAAAGGCAGCCATAAGCAAACCACAAAGAGGATCCTCACCAGAACCCGCCCACAATGGCATTCTGACCTTGGACTTTCAGCCTCCAGAACTGTGAGAAATAAATGTTTGTTGTTTAAGCCACCCAGTCTATGGTATTTGTTATAGCAGTTTGAGCTAAGACAGAAATGAAGTACTGTCACACACTATAACATGGATGAACCTTGAAAACATGCCAAGTAAAAGCAGCAAGACACAAAGGCCACATATTATATGAGTACATTTATAAGAAATGTCCAGGAAGGCACATCCATAGAGAAAGTAGATTGGTGGATGCCAGGTGATGGGGGCAGGGGGGAATTGGGAGTATCTGCTAACAGGTATGTATTTCTTTTTAAAGTGATGGAAATGTCCGAGTTAGATAGTTGTGATGGCTGTACAACACTGTGAATGTATTAAAAATCACTGAATTATACACTTTAAAATTATTAACATGGCAATTTTATCTCAATTTTTTAAAAGCTGAAAATACTTTATAATTTTTATGCAAATCATATTTACAACTGTACATAAAACCGAAACATCTGAAATAATATAAAAAGAGGGGTTTTAGATTATCTTTTCCTCTTTAAAAACTCTTAAGTGTCACATTTTTATAACAAAAAAAACTGAAACTAATCTAAATATCCATTATTAGGGAATAGATTAAATAAATTATGATACAGCTATAGAAAAGAATGAGATATTAGTTGAAAAAAAGCAAAGGGCCAAACCGTGGCTGAAGTATGATCCCATTTGTGTGTTTTTAACACTGTGCAAACATACTTGTATCTGCATAAGCTCTTACAATGGTAACCACAGCAGAGTGGGATTTGGAGAATTATTTTTAAGTTCATGCTGGTCTGTTTTCATATTTTAATAAGAAAATGTTTGAAATAAAATAATATTTGATTCCTCTTTTGGAATATAAATTCAAAGATTTGATGGCTTTCAAACATAGCGGGCATTCAAGTATCTCTTGAATATAACATTTGGTTTATGCAAGGAAAGCTTCCTCAAATGTCACTGTCTTTTACAATCAGAAAATGGATGTTGCAATAACATGATTTACATTTTCTGATAGACTGCACTCATTATATGGCAGAATTCCCAAACAGTTTGCCACAAAGCCATTTTACATGGTATATATGCTATACACACACACACACACACTGTAGGGCAAAAAAACTCTACATATTAAGAGATTACAAAATGAGAAATTGTTATATTTCTGACAACAGAACCAAAAATTATGTTTTTATGATAACAGTGGTTTGTGATCTTAGATATATAAAACATAACCCTGATGCAAGGATATTGTGTCTGTAAGGATACAAAGGCTATTTACTATAATGTAGAAAGAATACATTTGCTTGGATTCATGCATAGAAAGTACTGATAATATATAATAATGAGAATATTATACAAGTATTAAATTACACGAAAATCCACAAAAAGGTATCTGTAGCATCAGAAGCCTAAATGGTATGTCAGCAAAAATAAAGGATACATATTCCATCTAATTCTTAATGTTGTCAGAGATGAAAATATCAAAATAGAAATTCATTATTCTATTTATGGAGTAATGATGGTAATATAAGGGAAAAAAAAAAACAAACCTACCTGCCATTCAAACTCACTATCTGACCAATCCCAGTATGTGCTAATAGAAGAAGAGACATCACTGCAGACACTCCCCTCAGGGAATAAATCAAAAGAAGTGAAGTCTTGGTCATCTAACAGTGAATAGCAATCATCTTGATCTCCAACAGAAACTGATGAAAATAGCTCCTCACTGCATTCTGAGCTGGCAACACTTGTTCCACAAGAAGTTAAGTTCCACCTTAAAAACAAAACACAAAAGAAATCACAACAGGAACTTCAGAAGCCACACAATTTTAAGATATTCATAGGAGACAAATTCAAGACACTTATGAAGAATGTAAATATATTTTCAGGTATGACAATGATATTGTGATTATTTTCAAAAGAGCCCTTATCTTTTAAACATGTATACTAAAACATTTATGAATGAAATATATTTGGGATTTTTCACAAAATAGTAAGGGTTTGAGGAATGAGTAGTGCTATAAAACACATTGCCATATGTGAATAATTGTTGAAGCTGGCTGATGGATATATGACGCTCATTACACTATTCCCTTTACTCTTGTATTTGTCTGAAATTTTTTATAATAAAATATTTTAAAATAAAATTGTATCTAGGGCTGCCTGGGTGGCTCAGTCAGTTAAGCATCTGCCTTCGGTTCAGGTCATGATCCCAGGGTTTACGTATTTTGATAAATAATTATAAATAGAAAGGTTTATCTCAGTATTATTTGTAATACCAAAAAAATGGAAACAGCCTAAGTATTATTGAAGGAATAAAGTCAAATAGATCACGAGACTTTTTAATTTATAATTTATAATTAATTTAATTTGATTAATAAAAGACTAAAAAACAAAAACAAAACACATAATCTTTCAAGATAGATTACTTGAAAGGAAAGTACTAAGTCAAAGAATATGAACACTTCTCAAGGTCATATCATACTTAGTCAAATGCCTTTCTGAAAGGCTGTACCAATTTACACTCCCCAAAGCAGTATATAAAAATTGCTCATTTCACCACAACCTTAACAGCACTGGAATTTTTTTTAAGATTTTATTTATTTATTTGACAGAGAGAGAGAGACAGCTAGAGAGGGAACACAAGCAGGGGGAGTGTGAGAGGGAGAAGCAGGCTTCCCGCTGAGCAGGCAGCCCGATGAAGGGCTCCATCCCAGGACCCTGGGACCATGACCTGAGCCAAAGGCAGACCCTTAACGACTGAGCCACCCAGGTGCCCCTGGAATTTTCATTTTTAAAGTTTGACCTATCTGATAGGGGGAAAAAAACAACATTTTTTTTTAAAGATTTTATTTATTTGTCAGAGAGAGAGAGAGAGAAAGAGCACAAGCAGGGGGAGTGGCAGGCAGAGGGAGAAGCAGGCTCCCCACTGAGCAAGGAGCCCGATGCAGAACTTGATCCCAGGACCCTGGATCATAACCTGAGCTGAAGGCAGACGCTTAATTGAGCCACCCGGTGTCCCGAAAAAAAATTTTTTATATCAATTTTTATTTCTTCAAATACTGCCAAGATCAAATTTTAAAATATTAATTAGCTATTTTGCTCTAGTGTTTTTCTATGTTAATGTTTTCCTTACTGATTCTATGAGTTCTTGATGCATTAAAAATATTAACATTTTGCCTGTGGTATTTGTTGCAGGGTAACTTTTTTCTTGAAATCTACAAATCTATTTTCTTTTGTAAATTTCCACTAGCTTCATACTGTTAACAAGATAATCTTCATTGCTTAAGCAGTAGCCTAGGGAATTAATCCTTAAGATAATGATTTCGTATATCCGATACTAATAAGATACTGAAATAATGACTTCCTGAAGAAAAGCCTGTTACTTACCTATTATTAGGTTGTTTCTCATCATTCATTAAACCCATTTTTTTCTTGAACCATGTTTTTCACTTTTTAACTCCCCCCTTATTTTGTATTATTAATCTTAATTTCAAAGTTCTTGATTTACAAAATTTGGGCAATCTGACAATTTTATGGCACTTTTTCCTTTGAGCTAAATGTAAAATACTTTAAAGGATCAAAACACACACAGACACACACTCTCTAAACTATTATGGTTCAGTAACCATCAATACAGATGTCAACAAGCTTTTATAAATAGGTAAAAATCTAAAATTCATCTAACATCTTAGAATACCTTGTAATATTACCTAGTTTCATCACATGCTTACTAGACAGGCAGTATCCTCATTTTTTAAAAAATCAACAAACCTAGTAGAATTAACCAAATTGTTCAGGATGTACAATAAGACAATATAAAAGCTAAAAAATGGCAATCACTCTCCTAGACCTAGTAAACCATTATCTATGCCGTATTCTGGGCAAATTGTTTTTTTCTTTTGTGTCTTCAAATTGCATGTGAGCTTTTTCAATCTTTATTCATTCATCCACTCAACAAACAGTATCTTCTACAGGCCAAGTACTGTGTTATCTGGTAGGAAAAGTTGTTAGGTAATTTTTTTTAATGAGAACTTTTTTCTGAGCTTGCAAAAATTCAGTAGAAATGTATTTCCCTCCATGACTAGTAATGACTTTCCTTTTCAAAAAACTATGCTAGATTTAATAACCTAATGGTTAGATCACTGACAAGACAGGAATTTGCTTGGTTTTGTACTCTTAATGTAGGGCAAAATCAGTATGTTTCTCAGTTTTCTAGGTCCATGACTTTATAACAGATTTAACAGGATTCTGGGTATTCTTAGAAGCTTTTGCTCTTTTTTTTTTTTTTTTAATTAACAGTGGTAAAAAATACTGGGTTCATACTTGAAACCAATCATTTACAAAATAGAAAAATAATATTTTTACTACTAGAGATTTAAAAAAATTCTATTATCTTCTAATTTCCAAATATTATTATTACTTTAAGGCAATCTGAACAAAAACAAAGTAGGTAGTACTTTTATTCATTGCTGGTGAGAGTGTTAAATTAGCATAATCTTCCTGAAAAGCAATTTGCTACTGTATATATATCAAGAGCTTCAAAAAAGTTCATTCCTTTGGACTCAGTAATCGCCCTTTCAGGAATCTATCACTTCCCCAAATAGAAATTGGGAAAAAATGTATGTCCAAAATATATCATTTGTAATAGCCATCAAAGGGAAAAGAAATGCCCCCCAAAATGGGGAATAATTAAATAATATATCTAAATAATGGTGTTTTTTAATCATTAAAAATTATATTTTCAGGGGGCACCTGCGTGGCTCAGTCGGTTGAGCGCCTGACTCTTGATTTCGGCTCAGGCCATGATCTCAGGGTTGTGAGATGGAGGATGCCCCCCACCCTGTGGGGCTCTGTGCACTGACTCCTTGTGGAGTCAGCTTGAGATTCTCTCTCTCCCCTGCCTCTCCCCTCAACTCGCGCATTCTCTCACATTCTCTCTCAAATAAATAAAATCTTTTAAAAAAATTATATTTTCAGGGGCGCCTGGTTGGCTCAGTCAGTTAAGCGACTGCCTTTGGCTCAGGTCATGATCCCAGCGTCCTGGGATCAAGCCCCACTTGAGTCTCCCTGCTCGTCAGGGAGCCTGCTTCTCCCCCCACCCCCCCGCCCTGCCCCAGCTCGTGCTCTCTCTCACTTGCTATCTCTCTCTCAAATAAATAAAATCTTAAAAAATAAAAAAACTAAAAATTATATTTTCAGACTATTTTTTGGAAAAGAAAAACACTCACAATGTAAGTGTAAAAACCTGGTCACCAATTATATACCCTGATTTTTAAAAATTACATATGAACATAAAAAGAACATTGAAAGTAACAACATCAAAATGCTGACAGCTGTCATCTTTACTGAAAGGGAGCATGAGTGATCTTTACAATTACAGTTTTGTATATGCCAATTTCTAAAGTAAGCTTTTGTAATAAAAATTTAAGTGTGATTCTTTTAGACTGTTCTGTTGGTTTCAAATGTGTAATGAACGACCACTGTGTACATGTGCTCAGCACTGAACTACTCAAATCTACAAAGCCCTGACATCTTATTCCAGTAGGAGAAAGCTACCTAACACTAAGATCCTAGCTATAACCATAAAATTATTCACAAAGGAGACTTTCTACCTTAAAAGAAAAATGTTGAAAAGAATCCTAATGAAATGGAGTTTAATGCAATAACTAGGCTTGCTGCCCAAATTTTAATTAAAAAAAAGTAAAGCCAAGAACATTTATCTGCAAAGCTTATCTGCCAAAACCCGCATATAGCCACCCCTTCACCTCTGCTACAATTTTGGAGCACAGTAGGCCATCAAGATCCCAAGTTAGAGAAGATGACACAATCCCCCCACTCTACTCAAATTCCCAACTCTCCTCCTAGCGATCTCAACTGTCTTGGTATCATTATCCATCCCTCTTACCCTCTCTATAGTCTTGGAAGTAAAAAACATTCCATGTCATTTCTAAGAATAAATATTCCATTCATGTTCTGAGTTCATCCCAGCCATCTCCTATCATCCCACACTCTCTCATATTTTCAATTTCTCCCTTTCCTGTGGGCTACTTCTAAGGAGCTAAAAATATCTGTTCTTGGAAAAGAAAAACTAAACAAGGCAAACAAACAACAACAACAACGAAACCTTCACCTTTTTTTTTCAATTACCACATCTCTTCTCCTTCCTTTCCCTGCTAAATTTATTGAAAAGTTTCTTCTTCTCTCAACCCTTGTAACCCACAGTTCTACTCCTAACATGTTATTGTTCTACTGTTCTTTCCATTCTGAATGCTCCCAAATCCACATTAGGCTGGAAAGCTCTCCCAAGCCTGATCCCCGTTCTTAATTTGTCTGAACAAGCCCCCAAACCAAATTCTTCCTGCCTCTATAATCTGTTATTTCATGGACCATGGTTCTCCCACCTGTAACTCACAGCTCTGCTGCAACTGTTAATTCTATATTGAGATAGGAAAACTGTGGGTAGTACAAAAGGTATATAGTAGTCTCGGGGTTCTTCTACTTAACAATGATTGAAATAGGGTTCTAAAATCACATAACCGAGTAACTGCTTTATACAATAGTTCATTTCCTATCCTGCCAATAGGGTGAACAAAAGTGAGACACTGTCCTCTCACATACTTTTCACAATTGTTCAATGTCAAAGTACTGATGTACTACTAAAAGATGAAGAGAATAACACATCCAGTAGTTCGTATTAATCTCCTTCATCTCACAATTTAATTACAGAACTTACCAATATCATTATAATTATTTCAATTTGGTAAATGACTTCCCTTTTTGATAATGGTGGAGGCTGCCATGGACAAATGCTAAAAGAAAACCCACAATTACATCAGAAACATCCTGTGCCAAAACCAAAGAAAAATGTCTTAAACACCACATATATTCCATATTAACATTTAAATTAAAAAATAATTGGGGCACCTGGGTGGCTCAGTCGGTTAAGTGTCCAACTCTTAGTTTTGGCTCAGGTCATGATCTCAGGTTGAGATTAAGCCCCGCATCCGGTTCAGCACAGAGTCTGCTTGAGATTCTCTCTCTTCTTTCTCATTCTGCCCCTGCCCCCTCTCGCACATGTGCACTCTTTCTCATATAAATACATCTTTAAAAATATAATTAAGTTTCTTAGTTTATTGAAATTTGTTTTATTCTACCAAACTTCCAGACAAACCCAACTCTGTCATAAAATCCTAAAAGATACTCCTAGGAATGTGTGAATTCTTAGGAAAGTGGTTGTGTTCATGTAATTTTCCACTGAACCTAGGGTAGTGATATGCCAACCTCAGTCACAGGTGATTCTAATATGAACACTATAAACATTCAAACTTAGGGATCATAAATTAATAGTGCCCTGAATCCCCTGGTTAAGGAAGATTACAAATACAGCCCAGAGTCCAGTAAATGAGCAGGCACAAAACTGCCATCATCATAAGGCTCTTATCAATGGCATTAAATAATCTCAATAGTTTTATCAGGTAACAAGGAAGATGCAAAATAAAGGTAAACCAAGTATCTACCAACTGACAAGCATTTTATTTCCAGTAAAATGTGTTTTATAATGACTAAACCCAAAGCAGAACATCAATACTCAACTATGGAGATCTGTCTTTGAATTGCTGCTTGAACTGGTGATGTGAAGAAAAGATGTGACACGTGCAAATCCAAAATAAAAGAATTATGTAAACTAAACTTTGCCTACATACATGACTTAGCTGTTTGCTTCTCCCTGAAAAGGACTGACTGGCAGTATATGGTCCTCTCAAATGCCATCTTGAGGAAGGGCAGGAAGGAAGAACATTCCAGAATGAGAAAAGATTTAAAAAGCAAGGTAGCCTAGGGCAGAAACATCATCTGATGTAAATATCGCTGCTTCTGTTTGCCCTAATCTCTGTTGAAAAGGGTACAAATCAAAATACATTAGACATCCTAGTGCCATTCCAAGCCTTTGGAAAAGTACGGTAAGAGATGGAGGTTTTTAAAAAGCAGGCAAAATGTTTGACTTGGGAAAACTGGGGCTGAACAGGAACCTCCTCTATCTTAACTGCCCCATTCTGGAAAACAACCTTGGCCTTACCTCGGTCTCTAAGAAAAGGAATAGAAAAACACAAGAGAAAAATGGAAACGAGAAAAAGGAATAGAACAAGCTGTAAGAAATGTATTCTCCTTGCTTCACTCTTCATCATCCTACCAATTTTGGCAATGCTTACCCTTAGCCTTTTTCCCCACTCCCTTGCCCTCATCATCAGAGCAGGTTAATTCCGAAATCATTTCACTTTCCTGTTTATAGGACTTGCTCCAATGCTGCAAAACTTACATACCAAATATGTGCAAAAGTATTCTTTCATATTGTTTTCCAATGCAAACAATCCTAAGCACACTTGATTTCATAAATACATTACACTCATGTTAAAATCACATCATGGGTTAAGTAAGCTTCTGTGAGTCAGTCTAAGAAACTATAACAACCATTTATAACATCTGAGCCATTAGTTCTGTTCCAAGTTTCATCACTGACTCCAAAGAAGTAATCTTGGCTTTGCCTAACTCAGTTTTATGACCTTGAACTTAGTCTTTCCTCTCTAGGCCTCAGTTTCCTCATTTTTGCAGTGAAGATTTGGAAAAGTAACAAATTTACTACCACTTCCTTTTCAAATGTGTTATGCTGATCTTCTATTTAACTACAACACCTTGTTTCCAGACTCTTAACTTTCTTTTAGGGAAGAATGGTGTTTTATACACTCCTTGTACCTGGCAGAAGCTCAGTAAATCTGTAGACTGATTTAAGAGGTGGGGGAGGGCATGCAAAAGACATTCAAGTGTGGAAGGACTTATTCATGCTCATATTGTGGACCAGAAATCAGAACTAAACTCCTTAATTCAATGCCAAGATTTTCCATAGTTGAATCCATCTCCTCACTTGTTCTCCACACACCCTCCCAGGCCTTGGTATGTATCTCTCAAATATGCACCTCTATTATAGGTTGGGGCTATGTGTACAACATCTTCACATCCCCCATAATACTCAAATGCTTGCATGAGAGAATTCTCCAGAACACTCTAGCTTCCAATAAAATCGGTTAGGAGGTGCACCCTCTGAGTAAATTTGTATAAGCAAGCCCATCCTAAGCTTAGCTCCATCCCTCCACTGGGGGAGCAAACCAAGGGATAAGCTACATGAAAGAACCTTCCAGATCTAAGCTTATACATTTTGGCAGGGCCTAAAGCGGTAAAGCAAAGAGTTCATAAGGAGGGGGGCGGGAAGGACCGTCTGGTTTCCTAGAGCTTCACCAAGAAAAAATTGGGGTGGGAGTGGAAATGGGGCTGTGAGGCAGATTAAAAATCGGGAAATGGAAGATTCTAGCTTTAAAAAGTGCCATCTTTCAAAAGAACCAGAGATTGGTTTTGAGTCATCCGAAATCTACTCTAGAACGTATGGAAAATGGAAGGGGTTAAACTTTTCAGGTGAACGGAAACAGGGATGCATCTTAAAATTGAGGATGCGAATTTGAGATTCTCCGGGCACAGATGAAGCAGGAGGGGAAAGGCAGGCATCGCTCTGGTCAGAAGATGAATGGGGAAAAGGGAGCAAGTAAAATGCCGACCGAAAGGAAAATCGGAGGGAAGGGGTAAAAATAGGGAGGGGGACAGGGAAGGAACAGGGAAGGAGCAGGGAAGGAGCACTGGTCGGAGGAAGGTGGGGGAGGGGACGAATGGAAGCGCAGACCCGAGGCGGAGTGCCAGGTTCGGGAGCGACCCAGCGTTCTCCCGTTTGAGGCAGGGGTGTGGACAGTTCGCCCCTGCCCTAAGGGGCGGTTCATACCTGTTGGTGTGGAAGCGGTGGAGTGGATCCGTGCGATGACAAGAGGAAAGCTGGCAGCCGAAATCGCTGATGTCCAGGCAGCCTGGCTCCTCGCTCGGGCAGGTGCCCACCCCGCGAGGGGGTCCCAGAAGCGGGAAGGGCTCCTCGGGGGTTAGAAACTTCTCGTACGAAGTGGTGGCCGACGTCTCGTCGGACATGGCTGGAGACGGCCTGGCTTTGGGCTCCCTCTCTGGCCCCGGGCTGCTCCCGCGCCTGCCCCTTCCCCCACTCTAACCTGTCCGCGGCCGCCGCCACCGCCGAGGCCGGGTGTGCCCACCGCAGCTCACTAGCAGGCTGAGCGCCGTGGCCAGATGCCGCCGGGCCAATGCCGGCCGCGCTAAGGGGCTGCTAGAGGGCACAGCAGCGGACTGGCCACCCGGTCAGCGCCTCAGTGGCCTCGGCAACCGTCTCCGTCGCCGCCGCTGCCCGGCCCAGCCCAGTCAGCGCAGCGCAGCGCAGCGCAGCGCAGCGCGGGCGCCGCCGCCGCCGCCGCCGCCCGGCCCGCCCACCGCGCTTGTCACTCGCTACTGCTGCAATCCGCCGGCGCCCTCCGGGAGGAGAAAGGCGTTTGAGAAGCCGCTCCCTGTGCCCCCTGCTGGAGCGGAGGAGGAATTGAACCTCCGCCCGCCCGCCCTCCACGCGTCGAATCTGGGCTTCCTGGCGCTGGAACGGCCCTGCGCTTCAGGCCAACCACCTCTGTTTTTTCACCCACGGCTGATTAATAAGCAGCAAGCGGCAGCCCTGAGAGAAGGGACTTGGCCAAGGTCACACTGCGAGTGCGTGAGAAAGAATCCAGATGCCCTGGTTCCCAGCGTACTGACCACCCTGTCCCAATTCAATGAGTATTTAGTTATATTGAACTCCGGCAGTGTGTGCGCCCAGCACTGTGCAATGAACTGTAGGGGAAATGAGCCAAGTAAGAAAAAAAAATAGTCCCTGCCTCACCCTTGATCTTCTAACCCTGAGAACTCTACATAACAGCCACCAGGCTACTCAGAGCTGCTAGACACGCAGTGCTCTTTTGTGCTCTGTGCTCTTGCTCGCATTATGCATTCTGCTTGGAATGCCCTGCGGGTTCTCCCCTGCTAATCCTTAAAGCCCCAGCTCAAAAGTTACCTCCTCTGTGAAGCCTTCCCTGACTCCCAATGAAGTCTTACATATTCCTGTCAGTGCTCCAGTAGAAAGTACATTATGGCGTTTAACTTGTGCAACTTAAGTCAACTTACTAGGTGTCACATACCATTCTATCCTCCTGTCTCATTCTCTTTTCTCTGCTTTCCAGACAAGTGGTTGCAGATATTGGACATGTAAAATATTTTTTTAATATTTGGAGGAAAACACAAGATTTCCAATTTCTTATTTTGCCAAATGAAGACAATTTTTTAAACTGCTACTACTTTATAAAAGGAAGCACATTTTCATATAAAATAATGAGGGAATAATCTCTTAATAAAAACATTAAATATATTTAGCTCTATGGAAAAAATCATTACATTGAACTTTGAGGGAAACATAAAACTTAGGTGCAAAAAAGAGGAAAGGTGAAAGAACCCAGGAGGAAGGGAAGGAGAAAGGAGGCTGGGAGAAATGGGGAGTTGTCACACACCAGCCCTAAACAGTCTTAATCTCTGTGCCATGTCCTACCAATGCAACTTATAATGAAAACAACTCAACCACTTCTTTAAAATGTATATATGGTCTTGCTTCAGTTATTTGGTTACCTGACTGTTGAGTGTGCCTCTCTTCTTTCATTGAATTTAAAAATCATGGATGTGAGGGTGATGGTGGTTTGACTTGTGGTCCCCAATGCACCATTCCCAGTGAGCCTGAATGGGCAATGGCTTAGTCCCCACTAACAAGACTCAAGGGCTGCATAATAATGTAGGTACTCAGAGTCTGCGAGTTTTTTACAAGTATGTTTTACTTTTACATTTAATTTTAAGCATATCCTGGAGTATCTGGATGACAATGGTAACTAATTAGGACATGTATTTGACAAGTTGGCAACAATACTACTTTTAACTGTCATGAGCTAGTAAGAAAATAAATTAGGTGTACCTCCTACTTCATGGCTTACTATACAGATGAAGATTGGTAGTCTGGAAAAGGAAAGTGATGGGAAAGCAGGGTCCTCACAAGACTCACATACAAGCATGTTGAAAGCCAAGAACACATGCTGGCCAGTCAGTAGTTTGTTCAGGTTTCTAAGAGCAGTTTTGTCTCAGTAAACATCATGTACCACATTAAATTAACATTTTTTATTTGTGCACAATTTGTAAATTTACTTTGATGTTAAATTTGTATAAGAACGTTATGAACAGCAGTTTCTATTTCATTGTTTGTTTACATTTAAGAAATACTATAAAAAGAATTTACATAAATGCTTGAGTCTAAGAGAATGTTTTTCCTTTAAAAGAGGTCCCTCCAATATATTTCTCAATTGAGAAACACTAATTAGATAATGAGAGCAGTAAACAGGGTATGTGCACTGTGTGTGTAACATTTACTTAAATATAAGGTAATAATGTACTAATACATCTTTACCAAGCTCTTCGCCACTAGGAGTTGATGACTGCTGTGCATCCTTCCTCCTTGCCCCACTTTAATTTGTTTGGTTTGTCCCTTGGGTGTACCTAGTCTGAATGCATTTACCCAATTCACCCTTCCCTTCCATTCTCCAACAAGATCTTTCCTAATTCCTATTTCTCTGAAAACATGGATATAGTAGTTCCCTACCTTCTCTGACAGTCTGGGCCTAGAAAGAATCCCTGGGGTGACCTGTCTTCAGATGCATAATTTACCTCCCAGAGAGCTGATGGGCTGCAAGAGGGTCATGGAGACTAAACAAGATTGAGAATTGTCAACCAGTCTTTATCATTTGGGTTACTATTGGATAGAAATATATTAGACTTGACCCAATGATCTAACCCCTGTTAATGTTTTCATGTGATTGATGTGTATGTATGTGTGTGTATGTATCTATATCTACATCTAGATACACAAAGTGTTATATATAAAATGTATATATATATAATGTATATGTGTGTGTGTGTATATATATATATATATATATATATATATAAAATTAACTCCCCAAAGATCACCAACACAACCTACTGATAAAACAAAGCTTGAGTGTATTACTTATTACAGTTTGTGGTTCACTTTTCAGCCAGGAGCCAAGTGCCCATATTAAACCAAGGGAATAGATCTCAGCCCCAATCCAAAGACTGTCAAACCAGGTATGAAGTTGTTCTCCAAATTACCCAGTCTCTGATTTATAAGGACATTTGTCTTTGGACTGAGGGCCTACCCAGATAATCCAGGATAAGGTCCTTCTCTCAAAATCCTTAATTTATTCACATTTTTTGGTTTGCCATATATAGTAACATTCGCTCTTTTGCCATATTAATAGTCACATGTTCCAAGGATGAGGAAGTGGAAATATCATTAGGGGACTACCATTCAGCCTGTTGCAGTGGCATTGTCTAAACTACTTGCTATGCTCTGAACCACAGCATGTAGGACTTGCTCTACTTTCTGGACCTCTTATAAACCATGAAACCAAGAGGGCTGAGGAGAGAAAAAAGAAATCCAGAATTCCTCTAAAGTAGTTAGAGTTTCAGTTCTCAAATCAGAGACCCCTAACTTCTTTTCCTTTCTTGAATTAAATTATCTGCTGATCCTTTTTGCTAGAGTGGGCTAGCAATGGGCCCAAATGTATGATATCAGAGACAATCCCAATAATAAAGCCAATTCCCAAAGTTTTAGAAAAAAATATCTATAAGGATTACTGAGCCTATTTTCAGCAAAGATAGTGAATATTACCTCCTTACAAAAAATTAATGAAAATAACTTTTATAAAGGAAAAAACTTGAGGCTCCTGGGTGGCACAGTTGGTTAAGCATCTGACTCTTGGTTTCAGCTCAGGTTGTAATCTCAGGGTTGTGGGATTGAGCTCCTGCATTGGGCTCCACACTCGGCATGGAATCTGCTTCAGAGTCTTTCTCCCTCTCCCTCTGTCTCTCCCGCTCATGCTCTCTCTCATTAAAATAAATAAATCTTTAAAAAAGAAAAAACTTAAGATATAACATATAATAATACAGAGATATAATGTATATTCTATACTATGAATATACCAAACATACAGGAGAATACATATTGGTAGAATATGAACAATATCAAATAAGGTGATTCAGTAAGTCTGGAACAGGTACAAAATTCTATATTTTAATGGAACTCCATAATTAAGTCCGATGTGCATCCTCAATTAAAAACCACTGCCCTTGAGGGTGGCTCAGTTGGTGAAGCATCTGCCTTCAGCTCAGGTCATGATTCCGGGGTCCTGGGATGGGGCTCCACATCTTGGATTCCCTGCTCAGAGGGAAGCCTGCTTCCCCCTTTCCTGTGCCCCTCCCCCTCTACACATGCTCTGTCTCACACTCTCTCTCAAATAAATAAATAAAATCTTTAAAAAAATACTCACCTTCAGATGCTAGATTCAAATTCATAAGATGTGGCCAAGTAAAAGTTTATAATAATAACTGAAATTATAACTGGTAACACCATATTGCTGTTACATAATATTCTCAGGAAAAGCACTACTAGGACTCTGATAAACAAACATCATGGAGATGAGGGAATTGAGAAATCTCTAGGTACTTCCCATATAGCATATAATTTCTGAAATTTTTATATTAATAACATTTTCTCCATACAAATTTAATCTGGGGAAGTCTGAGCATCTCTTCTGATTGGACAACTCTTCCCATGCAACTCATCAATAGTAACATTGAATAAAAATAACAGTTTCTAGCACCTCTCTTTTTATAAGGTGAAAGAACAAGTTTTTGATTGTCCAGGGACCCTCTTGAAAATGTTAAAGATAACTACAGGTGCAAAAGATATCCTGAAAGTTATTTTATTTCACTTTACATTTAGGATTCAATTTTAGAAAGGAAAAAATCAAAAGTTATCAAGAGATTTGAACACTTAAAATAGGATAGTTGGTGCTAAGAAACAATATTTGGCTATTCATATGAAGGGAACAATAAGACATTTGAAGATAAATATAGAAGGTAACATGATTGTTAAGAATCTTGGTCCTTACATAAATAAGGAAGCTTTGTTTTCTTAAATAATTGAGGACATAATAAAGTCAACATAAAGCACAAAAAATTGTTCTGGTAAAACATGGAATCTTTTCTATCTACGCAGACTACACAGAATAACCCTTCATATTGTAGGTGAACGAAATAAACAGTAAACCACTGAGTGTCTTGTACTATGCTAGGCTCTAGAAATACAAAATGAATGTGACATGTTCTAAACCTTCCAAGATTTTACAATCTAGGTAAAGAAACAGATATGGTAAAAAAAAAAAAAAAGTGGGAAAATGTGGCAGAGATTGCTAGTTGTCTATCACA